GGGCGGGGGTGCCCGCCGCGCAGGTAGGACTGCAGCCCTGCACCATCCCCGGTGACCTGCCTGTCAAGCCGGCCCGCCCCCGCCGGCCCTGGGCCCACGACCGCTGCCACGCCTCAGGGCGCTGCGCCTGCAAAGGCACCGCAATGGCGCTGGTGCGGCCCGCGGCTGCGCGGGTGGCGCGCACCTCAAACAGATAGTTCCGCGCATCCTGGATCTCCTCAAAGGACGCCACTTCCTCCACGCCTAGCAACCTAAGAATCCGAGCGCGGTGCGAAGCAGCGGCAGGTTGATCATCCGCGGCCCAGCAGTGGGGTGGGACACGGCTGCCGGGGTGCCGCAGTCGGGCTGCATCCGCCTGCGGCTCGTCTACGGGCACATGTTGCAGCCCAGGCAAGGTGAGTGCTCACCGGTACGGGTTGCTCTCTCGCCGCCGCGGGAAGGGCTTGAGATCGTATGGCGCCTCAGGCCGCTGAGAGGCTGGCTGCTGCTGTTGCTGCTGCTGATCGTCTGCGCCGCCCAGCGCCCCCGCGTCCGCAGCACGGAGCCGCTGCAGCCGTGCCCAGCGAGTGCCAGTGCCCTTTACATGGCTGTGCCTGCAGCGATTTCGATGCGTTGGATGCAGCACACAGATGGATATGCATGCAGCCCGCAGCTGGTGATGCATGCGATCGGACGCGCGTTGCGCAACGCGTTCTGCTGCATCGCATTGGGGCAGAGGAGTGCGCAAGCCAAATCAGAGCGAGCACCAATAAGATGAGGGCTGGCGTGAGCAGCTGCAAGGCAAGCATGATGAATACGTTGCATCTACCACGCATATCACCTGTCATTGAAGGGAGCGAATGGACTCATGCGCGTCCTGCCGGCTGCTGCAGATTGCTGGGCCAGCTGCTGCACGCCATGAAGCAGAGCCATGGCGTTTCGATTACCACCAAAGATACCAATGAGCGCGACCACGCTGTCCCAGGGGCCCGCACAGGGGAGGCACTCAGTGTGACTCCTCCTCTCGACGTGATCGCGAGTCACAATTATCAATATGAATTTGTTTGCTTCGTAGATCCGAGGATAGTGATCAAAACTGATTGTACATCCACGCGCCAACATGCAGTCTTCTTGCCTCCTTGGCTCGCGCATCATCAGGGCCCATCAACCCAGCACAAGGGGGAGAGCAGCACAGGCACGTACTACTGTAACTGTTGCCCACCCGAGAGGCACCGCAGTGGCAGCGGCGGGTGGCGCTATGAACGGGCCCGAACATGAGCGTCCGGCACCACCGATGCGCGGCACCCAATGGCGCCGTGGAGCCCTCTCCTGACAGTCCCTGCACAATGCTGTCGCACCACAGGGGCCATGTTGTACTCATCAAGCAATCAGCAGCAGCCGCTCGGGGGCGCGGGGAGTGGCTGCGCCTGTCCGACAACCGGTGAGCATGCCAAGCGTCAAGGCGTGATGCACACAAGTCTGCTGATCGTGTTTGTCGGAACATCGATTTGTATGCAGGTATCAGTGCTGAGAAGGGGCACAGCACACACGTAAGCACTGCAGCTATCGATTGATATGGCCTGCTCCACTGCAGGTCAACAGGCTGCCCGCAGCGCTGCAGAGCGAGGGCGCCCCAGCAAGTGTGGGGGTCGACGGCAGCAGCAGCAGCAATAGCAGCACCAGCAGTAGCAGCAGCATCGTCGCCTTCAGCGCAGAGGATCTGAAGCAGCAGCTGAGGAGTCAGCTGGAGGGCATTGACAGAGGCATATTTGGGACCACGGTATGTGCAGCGACGCGAGCATAAAGACGGAGGCACAATGCAATGCTGTTGTTCCGTTTGCCCTGCCCTGTATTACTTTCGACAGCTGCTCTTGAAGCTTGCTTGAGAATCAGAATCTCACAAACTCCTTACGGCAAGCGCGCCTGCCAGCTCAGCATCAAAACAGCGCTTTGCCCCTCCCTACCCCGGTCCCCCACCACCCCTCTCGCGGCCGTGGTCAAAAGTCTGCCAAGCGCGAGGCTGTGCTGGCAGTGGTGTCGGCGTTGGAGGCGATCAACCCACTGCCGCAGCCGCTGAAGCACATGGAGCGGCTCGCGGGAGACTGGCGGCTGCTGTACACCACCATCACCATAACAGTGGGGTGACGCGTTCTCGTAATGCTTCGTCCCCTGGTGGTGGGATGACCACTTTGTTGCCGCAGCACGACCTGGCGTGGGCGTATCACAGAGTTTGTTGACCGCAGCACACACAGGCGCAAGACATGAGGACGTTCTGGGCCAGCATGCTGGCGTTGGCGCGAGGCTCTTGGTGGATGACACCTGGGCCACATAAGCTATGCGTCCAAGATGTGAACGTATGTGGAGGCCCGCGACCCCTGACGCCCCTGCACCCGCTCACTGCAGGGCGTGAAGAAGACAAAGCTGGGGTTACGTGAGTTTGTCAAGCTCGGGGACTTCTTACAGCGCATAGACACGCAGCAGCACACGGCGGTGCGTCAGGCCTGCTTAGCAAGCCGAACCCCGTGGGCCTGGATGTCTCCAGGAGCGGGTGATCGCGGGGTCCATGTGACAATTCTACCTCTGATCCTTTGCGCATCGATGGCGCAACCTCGCAGCCCCCGCCTGCTTTTTGATGTGCCCTTGCTCGCCTTTTGATGAGCCAAACGCTGGATGACTTTTGATGCCGCCTGAGCTCCTTTCCTTGACGCACTCACCAAAGCTGTGCCAAGTGAATTTGCAATCACCCCCTGCTGACGCCTGTTGGAACGCACTGCAGAGCAACGAGGTGTCCTTCAGCGTCACAGGCTTCGGCAAGTTCAAGGGCCAGCTCGCCATCACCGCCGCCTACTCCCCCGCCGCGCCGCCGCACGAAGCCAGCCGCGTCGACATCGCCTTCCAGTCGGCCACGCTGGCGCCCGCGGCGCTGGAGCAGCTGTTCCGCGCAAACTACGCGCTCCTGCTCTCCATATTCAACCCCGACGGGTGGCTGGACGTGACGTATGTGGACGACGAGATCAGGATCGGGCGGGACGACAAGGGCAACGTGTTTGTGGTGGAACGCTGCTAAGCGCAGGCGGGGGCTTCCGCGTGGGCTGGGGCGTCCTCACTGTTCTTGAGCCCGCCGCTGGGATGCCGCCGCTGCATGCACGAGTATGTGCCTCAGCGGGGGCGGCCGTGTAACCAGGTGACTACTTGTTAGTTGAAAGGTGAATGAATCATGCTGCACACGTGTGCCAACGACGCTGCGCATGCCAATTTGAGGTGTCCAGCACCAGTGGGTGCTCCATCAGAGGCGCCCGCGCAAATGCAAGTACGCATGGAGCGAGCTCTGCATTACTGCAAGAGTTCCCTCTAATTTGCACCGCGGCATCCGCAAGCAACACATATGGTGTCATGTGATGCTAGTGATGAATCACTACAATTGATACAATACAGACCCCCCATTGCAGCCGGCCGCCACACCCCTAGCAGCCTCGTATCAAGCTCAGCCAGGAGCAACACGGGGCTCTTGTATCACGTGCAACTGACAATTGATTCAGGCTTATTAGTATTCGTAGCAGTGCAAGCGCAACATGCACAAGCTCTCCCTGCAGACCACTACGTCCATGTGATGAGAGTGCTAGGACCTCGGCTGCAATGCTTGCAGGTGCCTAGGCCGAGTCACTGCTCCGCAGCCGTTCCAAACCGCGCCGCCCCTGCAGCCGAGGGGCGCACACGCGCCCGCCC